ATATATAAACATATATATACATATGCTTTATATACATTTGCTTTCATAGGAAAGCAAAAACAGGAACCACAGAAATTTTAATGGAAGGGCTATTGTGGGTTACGAGATTACCAGAGATCTCCCAAACTATAGCTTTACCCCAAGGGCCTTAGGGCCAATCCTGCCCACCACTCTTACCTGAAGCTGGAGCATAGTCCCCTCCTTTTCCACCTGTGAGAAGAAAAGCTGTGAGAGACCAGGGAAGTCCCTGACCCTAGGAAGCTTCCAGAACTGACAGCAGACCCAGGGTAGAGACAGCAGCAATGAGGAGTGTGGATGTGTTTCCCATTAATGAGGCAGAGCACACTTCTAGGAGGGACTGAGAGAGAACTCAGACCCTGCCCTTTCCTACCTGGGTTTCTCCTCCTCTTCATCACAACAACCACCACAGCTCCAATGATCACAGCTACAATGATCACAGCTCCAAGGAGAACCAGACCAGCAATGACTGCCATGATGGGGACCGTGGACTGAGGAGGCTCTGGGAAGGGAAGGACAGGGAGTGAAGGTGAAGGTCACGACCCAGTTCTCACCCCTGACACTGCCCAGGGTCTGCAGAAGACTCCAGCTTTCCCTGACCCCAGCTCTGCACCCACTCCCTCCTTACCCCATCTCAGGGTCAGAGGCTCAGGCAGCCCCTCATGGTGCACATGGCATGTGTATTTGTGCTCCTCCCCAGAAGGCACCACCAGAGATGCCCACTTCTGGAAGGTTCCATCCCCAGAAGGTCTGGTCTCCACCAGCTCCATGTCCTGAGTCTGTTCCTCCTCCTCCCTCTGCCAGGTCAGGGTGATGTCAGCAGGATAGAAGCCCATGGCCCAGCACCTCAGGGTGACATCACCTTTAGGTCCAGGATGATGGGTCACATGTGGCTTTGGGGGGTCTGTGTGGAAGATTTAAGAAATCCCACAATTAACAAGGTAAACTGAAACCTGTAAAGACAAAGTTAAATCAATGATGACACTGAACTATGTGACTGTTTGAACACTTCTGTCATCACACTAGTGTAGTGACCTGCAGGTAGAGCTGGTCCCCTCATCACAGAACTGCAGTTTCCTGGGGGACCCAGAAGCTAAGAGGGAATCCACATGAGCCAGCAGGTCAACATGGTCTTCCTTATGCATAAGTCATGCAGGAAAAGAATGAAGGAATGGAAAATAATTAATTTATACATGTGATTAAATTCATATCAAAATAAGAAATTAGGAGCATGCACTACATCACGGTGCCACCACCGAGGCGCAGCCACTGTGGCCATCTTGCTGTCCAGCCTTAACTGTCCATCCGAGTGAACAGCCATCACCAAAGTGAGCCGTAGAAACGTGGTGAACCTCTGACACTCAGCCAGAGAAAATGACTCCACAATCATTGGAACCTCTGGGAGACAAGATACCAGGTACTGTCACAGAGGATCCCTGGAAGTGGAGGGCAGAGGGAGAAGTTGCCCACGACCCCTGCACCTGTGCGCAGCAGTGTGTCCTTCCCGTTCTCCAGGTATCTGCGCAGAGACTCCACGCACTCGCCCTCCAGGTAGACCCTGCTGATCTCCCCAGCACCAGCCTGCTCCCACTTGTGCCGGGTGATCTGAGCCGCTGTGTCCGCCGCCGTCCACGTCGTCAGGTCCTCGTTGAGGGCGATGTAATCTCGCCCGTCGTAGGCGAACTGATTGTAACCGCGGATGAGGTTCCAGTCCGACCCCACGTCACAGCCGTACATCTCCTGAATGGTGTGAGAGCCTGCTGGGACCCCGCGGTCAGTCCCGCCCACTCCAGTGAGCCCCGCTCACTGCCCCGCCCCTCACACCTGCTCCCCGCGGCCCCGCCCACTTGCGGACTCTAAACTGAAAGGGAAACGAGGTCGGGTCTCCACCCGAACCTGGGTCCTGGGACCCGGGGCGACTCTGGCCCAAGCGTGAGGTCGTGAAGGGGTCGTGACCTCCGACCGCGGTCACTCACCGCCCTCGCTCTGGTTGTAGTAGCCGAGCACGTTCCTCAGGCTCCTTCGGAAAGTCTCCTCGCGGTTCTTGGTTCTTTGTGTGCTCCTCTCCCAATACTCCGGCCCCTCCTGCTCCATCCATGGTGCCCGGGGCTCCTTCCTTGGAGTCTCAGCGTCGCTGTCGAAGCGCACGAACTGCGTGTCGTCCACGTAGCCGACTTCCATATACCGGGACTCCCCGAGGCCGGGCCGGGACACGATGGTGTAGAAATACCGCATGGAGTGCGAGCCTGGAGGCGGCCGGTGGTGAGACCCCGACCCTGCTCCCGGGACCCCGGGCAGGAGCGCGGACTGGGAGGGGAGCAGGGCGCGGGGCTCGGAACGCGGGTGGGGAAGGGGCGGGAGGGTCCGGCTGGGCCACGCGGGGACGCGGCTTCCCCGGTGCCGCCCCCGCCCTCCCCGCAGAGCCCGGTTCCCTCCCAACCCCGCACTCACCCGCGCGGGTCTGGGTCGGGGCCAGGGCGGCCGCCAGCAGCAGGAGCAGTGTGCGCTGCGCCATCGCCCCCTTCTCGGATCTGGGGCGCGTCCAATTCCGCGGTCTGCTTGGACTTTATCACAGGTGACTGTAAGGATTGTGGTTGGTTCTTAGGGATCTCGCCACCCAATGGAGACTAGAACATCTCAGTTGTCAACAGTGTCTGGGGAAAAGGACCTGAAATTGTGGGAGCCTGTCATGGTATGCTAAATAAAAACAGACCACCCAAAGAAGTTTTTCACTTCCATCCATTATCACCGCCAGTGTAGGACTCAGCCATCCATAAGATTAGTGGAGGCCTGAGTCTTAATAGTTTACCCTGAAGCAATACCTGGGGGTTCTTACACATGGGACTTGGTCTCTTTGTTAGTTTTATGGGGTTTGTCGATCTGGGCATAACATTGGGGGCTCGTCACGGATCCCCCAAGTGCACCGGAACTACCACCTGTAGAGTTTTCAACAGGTTGGTAAGTTATCTGTGTTTTGTTTCATGTCTCACTCATGTCTGTGTCTCATGTCTTTCTGTAAGCGGGCCCAGGAACTGTAAGAGCCTGTTGATGACTAGGCAGAAGTAGGAAAAGATCACAGGCGGGCTACCTGGGGAGAGGTCCCCAGGGTCCTCTGGTTTCTGTAGAGAGTCTGGCGGGATGCTCCTGGTGTATCAGTTTTGTCTAGAGCCATGCAGGCTGTGCAGGCAGCCGGGGTGCTGGGGACGCAGCCCCGCCACTCCTATTTCAACAAAAGGGGGAAAATGTAGGACCTAGGGCAGCTTTCCCAGGGCACCTTGGCACACACCTGCCAAGATGGGTTCCATAGGTCAGCAGGAAGGTAGACCTGAGTCTCAGTTTGCCCTAGGGCAGTGCTGACTCCTAGACTCCCTCCTGCTCCCATTTCACCCTGGGACCTTTTCCAAGCCTCCACAGGAGACAGCATTAACAACTACATACAAACCTGTTCTGTTTTTACCCTCGGAATGAGTAGCTTCAACTCAAAATCATTACAGAGTGTGGAGTTCTAGTCTTGTGAAGACTGCTAACTCACTGTAGACTGTTGGGAAGTACAAGTCAGTCATCTTTAAGGTACTGATATAATTAATTACAGCAATAAGCCTTATTTAGGTCCTTGTATATGTTTTTAAAGTCAAACTTAAAGCAAGTAACTAGAAATAAAAGTTGTAATCAGATATACCTAGGCAGGCCCCATACTTCAGAGAGCTGCAGATCATGGCATTTAAAATAATGATTAAAAAGCTCATTAAATTAGACAGAGACTCTGAGATCCTAGCAGTAACCCAAGGTCTCCAGAGAAGATTATGGGACACCATGATGTCTCCAACTGGATTATGATGACGCTGCCCCAGTGCAACACCTGCTCCCAGGACCCGGTCCAGACTGTGGACAAACAATAGGACACTGGAGAATTGATTGCACCTCTTTTGCCAAGACAATATAGGGTCAGTCTTTTCCGTGTCCCTCTTCCATAGGAAGCAGTATTGCTGGGTCTTGAGGTAGGTTGATTCCAAATTTTCTGGAGAACTGCCACAGGTTTCCAGAGTGGCTGGACAAGTTTGCACTCCCACCAGCAATGGAGGAGTGTTCCCCTTCCTCCACTTCCTCTCCATCATAAGATATCATTGGTGTTTTTTATCTTAGCCATTCTGACTGGTCTAAGATGGGATTTCAAAGTCATTCTGATTTGTTGATTTGCTCATGGCTAGAGCATATTGAGCAGTTCCCTAAGTGTCTTTCAGCCATTGAGATCCTTCTGTTGAGGATTTTCTTTTTAGATCTGTACCCCATTTTAACTGATTTATTTGGTATTTTGTGTCTACTTTCATAATAAAAGCAATATATAGCAAGCTGAGAGCCAACATCAAATTATTTTTTTTGTTTTTTTTTTTATTTATTTTTTAAAAAGTAAACAAACTATCTTTTTTCATTATACATACCAATCCAAGTTTCCACTCCCTCCCTTCCTCCCATCCCCTCCATATTCCCTTTCCCCACCTCCATCCACTCCTCAGAGAGGGTAAGGCCCCAAGGGCCTCCCTACTATATCTAGGCTGAGAAAGGTTTCATCGAAAGGGCAGAGGTTCCCAAAAAGCCAGTATAAGCAGTAAAGATATATCCTGATGCTACTGCCAGTGGCCCCTCTGTCTGCCCCAGCCATGCAACTGTCAACCACCATCAGAGGGACCAGTTTGGTCCTGTGCTTGTCCCTTCCCAGTCCAGCTGGTGGCCAACATCAAATAAAGTGGAGAGAAACTCAAAGCAAGTCCACTAAAATCAGGAACATGACAAGGATGTCCACTCTCTCCATATCTATTCAACATAGTTCCTGAAGTTTTAGGTTTAGCAATAAAACAACAAAAGGAGATCAAGGGGATACAAATTGGTAAAGAAGAAGCAAAACTTTCGCTGTTTGCAGATAATAAGATAGTATATATAAGTGACCCCAAAAATTCTATGAGGGAACTCCTACAGGTGATAAATACCTTCATTAATGTGACAGGATACAAGATCAAATAAAAAAATCAATAGACCTCCTATACAGAAATGATAAATGGGCTGAGAAAGAAATCAGAGATATATCGCCATTTACAATAGCCAAAAACAACATAAAGTATCTTGGGGGTACACTAACCAAAGAGGTGAAGAATCTCTGTGAGATGAACTTTAAGTCTTTGAAGAAAGAATTTGAGGAAGATATCAGAAAATGGAAAGACCTCCCATGCTCTTGGATAGCTAGGATCAACATAATAAAAATGGCAATCCTACAAAAAACAGTCTATAGAGTCAGTGCAATCCCCATCAAAATCCCAACTTAATTCTTTTCAGACCTCAAAAGAAATTTGGTTTTCATATGGAAAAAAACCAAAAACCCAGGATAGCAAAACAATCCTGTATAATAAAGGATATTCCAGAGGCATCACCATCCCTGACATCAAGCTCTATTATACAGTGAGTGATGAAAACAGCTTGGTATTGGAATAAAAACTGACAGATGGACCAATGGAATTGAATCAAAGACCCATATATCAATCTGCACAGTCATGAACACCTGATTTTTGACAAAGAAGCTAAAATTAAACAGTGGGAGTAAAAAGAAAGCATTTTCAAAAATGGTGCTGGCATAACTGGATGTACACATGCTCAAAAATGCAAATAGATCCATATTTATTCTGATACACAAAACTCAAGTCCAGGTAGCACACACCTTTAATCCCAGCACTGGGGAGGCAGAGACAGGTGAATCTCTGTGAGTTCAAAGACAGCCTGGTCTACAGAGTGAGTTCCAGGACAGAGATACACAG